AGCAGGCTTTGCCTTGAGTATTGCACGCCCTTTGCTGCTGTTGGTGTTATTATCGTTCATAACCCTTTTGCAGGCACTTACTTTGCTGGGTGCCTTGTAGAGGCAAGGGCAGACCATCCCTGCCCTGTCAGGAGCATGACCATGGTGGGCAGGCAGATGACATGAGCCACCCTTGCCTCCCCTCTCCTGTGCACTGATAACAATCCTCGCCCCTGATTAACTGAAAGCCATCAAGAAGCCCTGTGTGGACAGCCTTCTTGACCAGGCCAGCATGGGTTCAAAAGGGGCTCTGTGCTGGAGAGACGTTGAGGTGTAGGGACACTGCTGGGGACAGCCTTTCGGCAAGGTTCCCACAGGGCACGATATTCAGGGAAGGGAGCTCCTGGAGTAGGGGCAGATTAGTTACAGTTATGCTGGAAAGCTGGAGGATGCAACGTGAGTGCACCGCAGCCACCTGGGACATGGGGATCTTGGGGACACCCTAGTGCTTTCACTTTTTTGGCTCATGTGGGTTTTGCACCAACCCTTCAAGAATTTACTTCACAGTTTTGGTAGGACGGCTGCTGGGGCATGCATCAGCCCCAGAGCTCCCTTGGGAGCAGGTGGGACATGGTCTGTGCCCTGGCTGTCACTAAAACCCAGCTCCTTTTTGGCTAAGAACACCACCCATGGAAGGCCAGGAGCCTTCTGAGCATTTAATTTTCCCTGTGATGTCAGCCATGAAGAATAACACCCACACAGCACACTCAGTGAGAAAAAGTGGGGACTTCTGCCCAGCTGCTGCCCCAGAGCATCCTCTCCTTATGTTCCTGCTCGGCTGCCCCCCAGCTCGGCCTCTTTTTCCCTCCGGCCTCATTTCAGATGGAGGAGAACACGTGAGTCCCTGTACCAGTCCCACCAGCCCTGCCATGGGGTACCCCTGTCTTGGCCAGAATCCCAGGGACCGGGTGGCTCTGCTTCCAGCACCGTTGCCTGGATGGTGTGGCCGGAGCAGGGATCACCGGGGTGGTGTGGGAGCAGGCAGGAGTTGATGCTGTCACCTTTCCATGCCTCTTCCCGACTTTGTCATCCTGGGGACCTTTGTGTGGATCCCATTTTTATCTGTTTTTTTCTCCCTCTCTCTTTCTCCCCTTCTCTCTTTGCTTTCTTCTCTCCCCCTCCCATCAGTATGTGGGCTGATCACTGCTCAAACTTTTAATTCAGATGGTAATTGGAATAATAATACGGGCAGAATCCTTCTGGCTCCGTTGCTGCAGCTGGCTTCAGAGAGCTATGAATAGCTCTGAGTCACACACTGAGATGGTTTAACTTCAAATCATTTTGTTTTGTTTTCATATTACCCATCCCTAGGCTCCAGAGCTTCATGGGGGGGGAAAAAATCCCCCCTTCTCACTCCACCCCAAAATATAAACTAGGCAGAGGCACATTAATAAAATCCTCTCTTGAAGAGAGAAACTGGTCAGCGGATGATGCCTTGCAGGGCAGATGGGGACTGTTGGCACTTACTTGATCTATTTATAATTATTGAACAAAAAGGCAGAAGTGTGTATATAAAAATGGTATGGAGTTGATTACAGCTTCCTCCCCTCACCTTCCATATGTCACTTGCCTTTTTAATATGGTAAAGCTTTCCCGCATGGTGACTGTGCCTTCGCCCGTGCTTGTACAGCGCCAAGCACCCAGGCCCACCGGCACCGAGAAGAGAGAGCTTGGCCACTGTCTCTTGTGGCAAGACAACCCCTATGAGCCCCGGCATGAACCCCAGGAATATTTGTGAGGAAGAGGAGAAAAGGTGGAGTTATGAAGCAGATGGAGAGGATGAACTGAATGCTGTGGGTCTGCAAGGCTCCGCAAAAAGCCAAAGGGGTCCCCTCTCTGCTGTGGATGTTTCCACTCTGACTCCCCAAGAGGTGAGAAGACATCTACCGTGTTGTCACCGTGCCCGAGCCGGCAGGATGGGTCTGTGGATGCTGATCTCAAAACCAGACGATGCTATGCAGCTGATAAGAGGAATAAAGGCACGAAACGCAGCGCAACCAGCGGCTGCGGTATTGACCACAGACAGGAGGGAAGCATTTGCCAGACGGCTCCAGATAAAGCAAAGACTAAGAGTGTAAAAATACCCTGGGATTTTTCCATCGTTGTCGTTCACGGTGTACATCCCAGAGCACCAGATACGGTTGTTATAAAAAGACAAGTGGGGGAGTGTTTCAGCGTGGACTTTTCTGTTCTGTTTCATGAGACTCTTCCACTGCAAATTTAAGGAAGGACTGACAATATATGATCCACTCTGGCAGAGGGGCTGGAGGAAGCCTAGGACACGTGAGGCACTTTCACTGAGTACTGGGGATGGAGCAATGGAGGCATTGCATCAGCACCACGCGCCACGACATTATTAGCCCCTAGATCCCTACAAAGGCGATGGTCGCAGCCCGGCACTGCACAGCTGTCAGGGGTCAGAGCAGGGCTGGAGTGGCAGTGTGGGCTGGTGGAATGGTTTGTGCTTCTGGAGCGCGGTGTCACTCGGAAAGGCATGGGTGACCGCAGCACGCGGTGGTGGTGTCCCCAGCATTGCTCAAAATAGGGTGCAGGAGTGGGGAAAACAGTTGGGAAGGAGGGAAGGGCAGCCCAGGCTGGAGGTGCCTGTTGGCCCCTGGAGACCTACCTGGCTGACAGTCTCCATGCCACAGCAGTTTCCCAAAGTGCTGGGGGGCTTCCTCAGGCCGTGAAACGCATCAGTGTTCATGTATGCCGGGGGAAGAGTGGCAGACGGACGGAGAGGCATCTCTCCGGACTGCAGTCTCCTGCCTGGCATCTCCCAGGGTGCCCCATGCCTCACTCACCATTGCGGTCTCCACTCCCCAGTAATCTGCTGACTCTCCGGCTTGCCCCTCCACATGTGGGTGCCAGGAAGCAGAACAAACTCCAAGAGAGGTCCTCAGGCACGCTCCAGGATTTGCATCTCTGTCTCCGATCAGGCTCTCTTACCCCTGTCTGTTTGGACGTGAATGTCACCCCCTTTTTTCTGGAGGCATCTCTGAGCCTTCCCCCTTCATCCTGTTTGTGTTTCAGGTTTCCAAGGAGCAACGGGACCGTTTCACAGATGTTCGAACTGAGTTTGCATAGGATTCAGGCTCCCGGGCCCATCCCTGGCCTTGTATTGGAAATTTTGTGACCAGCAGAAGAAGGGAGGTGATTATCCCTCTGTACTCGGCACTGGTGAGGCTGCACCTTGAGTATTGTGTTCCATTTTGGTCACCTCAGTATAAGAGAGATATCGAGGTGTTGGAGCAAGTGCAGAAGAGGGCAACAAAGCTGGTGAAGGGCCTGGAGAACAGACCTCATGAGGAGCGATTGAGTGAGCTGGGTCTGTTCAGTTTGATGAAGAGGAGGCTGAGGGAGGGATCTCATCATGCTCCACAATTACTTGAAAGGACATTGTAGAGAGGTTGGTGCTGGTCTCTTCTCACAGGTAATTAGGGACAGAACCAGGGGGAATGGTTGCAAGTTGCAACAGGGCAAGTTTAGGCTGGACATTAAGAAGAAATTCTTCACAGAAAGAGTGGTCAGACACTGGAACAGACTGCCTAGGGAGGTGGTTGAGTCGCCAGCCCTGGATGTGTTCAAGTGTCGCTTAGATGTGGTGTTGGGTGATATGGTTTAGGGGTGACCTTGTAGTGTAGGGTTAACGGTTAGACTCGATGATCCCAAGGGTCTTTTCCAACCTGGATTGTTCTATGATTCTATGATTCTATGATTGTCAAGCTGGCAGCATATGTTTTGCAGGCAGGGCTGTCAGCCCAGTGGCCCTGGGCCTCTACCTGCTGAAGAGGGACAAGTGGCTACTTCATCTCCTGGCATGGCATCTAAAGGGGCCTTGTGCAAACTCCATCCCAAGGAGACGGCAGTCCCCAGCCCAGGGCTTCTCGCCTGCCTGTCTGTCTTTCCCATGGCGGCACCGCGCGCTGTGGGGGTGTGTTGGGGTGGAAGTGGTAAGTGGGTTTATTTTCGTCCGTCTCCTGGCTCGTGCCGCTCCGAGTTTGTGGCCCCCGGTATTACTAACGCATCCCTGCGCGCCAGCTGGCAGCAGGGGATGAATCAGATCAGCAGCACCGCAGGGCGGACCCCCTCACCGGCCGATGAGAGGAGATGCCTGTGGCCAAAGTGCTAGTGATGTCTTCCGCCTCTGCCCAGGGTGAGCACTGGCACCGAAACACCAGCAGCTTGACCTTGCTGCTGGAGATGTCTTGGTAGCCTGCAGGGCAGAGCTGTCCATTCTGCCCTGTGCTGCCTGCCCAGGGGCAGCCGATCCCTGCCCTCCCTGCATGCTGCAGGTCTCAGGTGGCTTGATGAGCTCCTCTCTGCCCACTAGCATCATCCCCGAGCTGGAGTCAGCTCTGTGGCTACGAGGGTCCAGCTGCTGCCAAAAAAAAGCACTTTTGGATCAGTTACCCCCCCACCCTGGTCATACCTCACGGCAGGAAGTGAAGTCACACGATGACATCACGGACCTTGGTGCATTCCGTTCACCTCATAACAACGAGATGCCTGGTCCTCCTCTCAGCTCACCCACCCTGGTGATCTAAATGGAGGGATTTTTGTGACTGCCTCTTCTCCTACAAGCAACCCTAAGGCTGCAGAGTTTGGCACACTGCTTGTCAGTGTCACCTGCCTGTGTGACCTGGGCTCCAGGAGGGTAATTTAGATCCTTCCACTTGCTGCAACTCAAAGCATCCCAAAAAATGTCATGGCTGCTTGGTATCTCTGGGACAACAGAGAGGTTCAGTCCAGAATCTCAAGGCTTGGAAGATGATGGTGATGACTATGACACCGATGATAAAAGCTGCAGTTTCTCCTGTCCTTCACCCTGGTGCAAGAGCTGTGAGAGCTCAGGTGACAGTCAGGTAGAGGATCTGGGGGAAGCCATCCCATTTTCCCTAAATCCCAAGGACTCTTATGTGGCGAAAGCCAAAAATGTGAAAACCAGAACATTTGCTGAGATGTTGGCCAAGCATGTCCTGGAGCTTGAGGAGGAAGCTCAGGAGTTTCAGGAACCAGCTAAAGACATGGAAATGCCCGGTGGCTTGTCTCATGATGAGGAGCACAACTGGACCCATCACCTTCCTGTGCATCAGAAGTTAGATGTTCTCCAAACTTCCCGTAAGGCACCGTGTGGCTCCTATGACTTTTTTCAGTCTAATGTGGACAAGCATATGGGAGTGGATGCCTTTGCCCCATGGGCCCATGGCAGTGACCCTTACCAGGAGTACCCAGAGAACACCAGGGAAGCAGATCCCCACATGCTGCACGAGGAGGCCATTGCAGACAGGGAGCTCCCGTTCCTGCAGCCGACCTACGACATGCTCAGGGAGGAAAACTCCGTGCTCAAGAGGATGGTCAGGAGCATGCAGAGCTCCTTGAAGAGCCAGGAGTGCACAATGAGGCAGTGGGAGATGCAGCTGAAAGCCAGCCTGGTCAAAGAGGAGAGGAAAGCCCAAGAGCTAGAGTCCTTTGCCCAGTGGACTGAGTGCAATCTCCAGCTAATGACCCAGTGGGCTCTGGAGGCAGAAAGTAACGTGGAGAAGCTGAAGCAGGAGATCTTTATTCTCCGGGGAGAGCTGGACAGAGTCAGGCTGGAGAATGAAAACCTGAAAGCAGATAAAAAAACTGACCTGGGAGCAGTGAAGCACAACATGGACTTCGCCTTGCAGAACCTCCACAAGATAATAAATGGTGCAAACTGGTCCATCACACAGCTCACCTCTGGACTGGAGTCACTACATTTCCTTGCTGAGGTCCTTAAATCTACAGGCAAAATTTCTGAAGTTGGAGCTGAAAAAGAGCTGTGAACTCAGTTCTGTGTGGGTCCTATGCATGAGTTTATGGACCGAGACCACAGGTCTCCCACTACAGCCTAGAATAAAACCATTTGCTTTCATGTGCTCATGTGTGTGTGTGTTTTCAGAGTTGTAGCCTTTATTCTTCATGGAAATAATTTTCTTGTGATTAAGGAAAAATCACAGGTAGTGATCATAGAATCATAGAACAATTTCTGCTGGAAGAGACCTTCCAGATCATCAAGTCCAACCTTTTTCTAGCCCTATCAACACCACCAAAACATGTCCCTCAACACAACAACTACTCATTTCTTAAACACCTCCAGGGATGGTGACTCAACCAATGGCTGACAACCCTTTCAGTACAGAAATTCTTCCTAATATCCAACCTGAACCTCCCCTGGCGCAACTTAAGGCCATTTCCCCTTGTCTAATCACTCACCACTAGGGAGAACAGACCAACCCCCACCTCGCTACAACCTCCTTTCAGGTAGTTGTAAAGAGCGATAAGGTCTCCCCTCAATTGCCTCTTTCTCTAGGCTAAACAGCCCCAGATCCCTCTGCCTTTCCTCACAAGACTTATGTTCTAAGACCTTTACCAGCTTGGCAGCCCGCCTCTGTACCCTCTCCAGTACCTTAATGTCCCTCTTGTAGTGAGGGGCCCAAAACTGGACACAGTATTTGAGGTGAGGCCTCACCAAAGCCGAGTACAGGGGCAGGATCACCTCCCTGCTCCTGCTGACACCATCTCTGACACAGGCCAGGATGCCATTGGCCTTCTTGGCCACCTGGGCACACTGCTGGCTCATGTTCAGCCTGCTGTCCATCAACACCCCCAGGTCCCTCTCTGCCTGGCAGCTCTCCAGCCACTCCTCCCCAAGCCTGTAGTGCTGCTGGAGGTTGTTGTGGCCCAAGTGCAGGACCCGGCATTTGGCCGTGTTGAAACTCATGTGATTGGCCTTGGCCCAGTGATCCAGTCTGTCTAGATCCCTCTGTAGAGCCTCCCTACCCTCAAGCAGATCAACACTTCCACCCAGCTTTGTGTCATCTGCGAACTTGCTAAGGGTGCACCCTGTCCCCTTGTGCAGATCATTGATGAAAATGTTAAAATAGGCCCCAGTACTGAGCCTTGGGAGACACCACTTGTGATAGCCCACCAACTGCATTTAACTCCGTTGACCACAACTCTTTGGATTTGGCCATCTAATTATTTTTTTACCTAGCAAAGTGTATGCTCATCTGAGTTAAGAGCAGTCAATTTCTCTAGGAGAATGTTGTGCACAACAGTGTTAAATGCCTTACTAAAGGCAAGGTAGACAACATCCACAACCTTTCCTTCATCAAACAAGCGGGTCCCCCTCTCAGAGAATGAGATCAGGTTTGTTAAACAGAACCTGCCCTTCTGCTAATGTTCTGTTCTAGCACTGTGGAACTGGCAGCGAATGTTTCCCAGACTCTGAGCTGAAAGCTCCAGCCATGGTGAGCTCTATCCAAGAGGCTGTGCTACAACTCCAGATGACTTGAGCTCCCATGTGGGAGCCAGGAGGAAGCACAGAGGCATGGGATGTGGTGATCTTAAACAGCATGCCGATCTCTCCCCATGGCTGTACCAGCCAAAACCAGAGATGAGCAAAGCCCTTGCATTTCATCTGATTCCTTTGCCCCTTCTCGGTGAGATGGGGGAGGCAAGGAGCAGAGATCTGGGTGCTGTTGCGCATGATTTCAGTGAACAGAAGCTCCTTAGGTCTTCCTTCCTTTTCTTTCGGTGCTGGCCACCACCTGGGCCAGAAATCCAAAGTCTAGAAATTGTGCACCTGTTTCTGCAGCTGGGGAAAAAGGGAGTGGTGATTAGAAACCTTTAGGAAGCTGTGAAGTATCCGTATGTGTGAGGTGTGGCGGTGCCTTTCCTGCAGTATCAGTATCAGTGCTGGCTAAGGACGAGCTCCGCGTACGCCAGCTGGCTAAGAAAGGTACTGGCTGGAGACAAAGCCCCTCCTCTCCTGGTTGGAGCTCACATAGAGGGCTATAACTAAATTGCCTGCCTTTGTCACCTCCTAAAGACCCCCAAATCCTCAATTGTCACACGTATGGCAACCACTTGTTGCTCAGGCTGGAAGGAAGCAAACAAACTGGCTCTGTCTGCATGGTGTGCTCTGCACCGGCTGCTATAATCCACAGGTTAGAGTGCAGGATTAACATGGTTGTACAAAGCCCTTCCTAATCTGTGAGTCATTACCCCTTCACTGCATTTCAGTTCCCAGTAGCTCTGGACAGGTGGGATAGATCAGCTCTTGAGCCTTCAGTTTCCCTGTTCTTCAGTCAAGGGAGGACCAGATTGGGACATAACATCTGCTGGACATCCTCCCCAGGGCTCTGTTACTGCGCCGCTCCTCGGATGCTGTACGCAGGGAATATCTCAAGGTCTGTTTGCTCTAACTGGCTTCTCCTTTGCTATCCCTAAGCCCTTCCTTCCCATCAGTTCTCCTTTCTGGCTCTACCCACCGCTTTTTTTCTCCTCTTTGAAATGGGAGATGTCCTGCACCCTCTGGAAATAAATCCCCTCTGGGTCAGGCTGGGCTGACAAGGAACGCTTGGGGCTGCTATACACATCAGTGCTTGATTAGTTCATGCGTGCAAGGTATTTAGCCTGGCTCAGCTCTTGTCCTAGTGTAAGCTATGATATTAATATAATGGCTCAGGGCAAGGGCCCTGCAAGCTGCTCAACCGCTGTGCCCTTGATATGGAGTGGTAGATGCAACTCGGTCTGTGTCCATCAGCTCCTCACCTACCTGAGCCAGGCTACAGCAGAGTGTTTCATGGGCATCCCCAGACTCCTCCTGAGCAAAAGGCTGGGAGCCCTGCGACTGGGACTGGGATGGGTGCTGTCATGGGAGGATCTGACTGGGTCTTGCTTCATCCTTCTCTGCAAGGCATGTACCCGGCAAAAATTGCAATGGCAGCGTGGATCCCAGCAAGCCAGAGGTAAGACCTGGAGCTGCCCGGTCTCATGTAAGCGCTGCTGTATGAGATCCCACGCCCTGCCAGCTCCCACGGCCCCCTGACACCTGATGATACAGCGAGCCATGGGCAGCGTCCGAGTCAACCGGTGAGTAACTCTGCTTTTGAGGACTCCTGCTGCCCTGGGTGACCTGGTCCTCCTCATCTGGCCCCTCAGGCCCTACCTTCAGTGTGTTCTCCTCAAATCACTTGCCAAGGGCTTTCCTGCTCCCAAGTAGGGTTCCCTCTCTCCTACTCCAATCCAAAACACGCCGTACATGGAGGCAGTTCTTGGAGGAGTACAATGAAGGAGAAGCAAAGTGCTGCATGGTGCTTGACGAGAAATTACAGATTCCAGCAGTGCTGCAGAACCCCCATGTCCCCAGGAATCACAACCCCAGCCACTAGTGCTTCCTGCAGCATGAGACAAGGAATGGGGTCACAAAGCCCATGCTGGAGGGCTGACACGTCAGCACTATTGGGTGGGTGACACCAGCAGTGTGAGGGGTCCTGGGAGGCTGTGGCTCAGTGGTCACAAGGGCAGAGAGATGTCGGTGGATCTGTACACTCGCTTGATTTCCTCAAGGACCAGAGAATCTTCTGCCATCACATTTTTAAGGAATATCTGCAACTGCCCCAGCAGCATGTGAGGGGCAGTGGCAGTACCACTGGTGAGGGAGAGGAGCTGGAGGGACAAACGTCTCCCAGGAACTGTGTGTGGAGCTTCTGCCAGGGAAACTGCCAGACTTTGGCGCTTGATCTCCAAATTACACCTTTGGCTTTGGATGCAGGATGCTGGGAGCCACACATGTTGCTGTGGCAACGGAATTGTCCTGAGCGCAGAAAGTGTATAAGCATTGTCACCAATGCACCATGAAATCAGTGAGGAGAGCGGAGGAGAAAATAGAAATTCCTGGCCTTACATAATGCCAGGGCCAAAATCCGGCCAGACTGTAGGTGTTTGCTCCCAGGCTTCCTGACTGTCCCATCTGCTGTCAGGTTTCAAAGCCCTGGTTCCCTCCTTGCCACAAAGGCACAGAGATACAAGTTTCTCTGGCTTTGCTGCTCTGTCAGGACTTTGCTAGATACAACCTCCTGGCAGCAAGACTGGGCAAATATTGCAGCCAAGCTCCACCAATTTGGTCAGAGTGGCACCAGAGTGAGATAACCAGGGAAACGTGCTGTCGTGATATTCAACACAGCGGTACCATAGCCCTCTGAGCCACCTACGTGTCTCCTGACCTCACCATCTCAGTGGCTGCTGTTGTTTTTCATGTATTTCTGCTGGAATTGTCTGTTTCTTCTCTTCCAGGTACAGCATCGTCTCGACCGAAGAGGATGGACACAAGGTCTCTGCACTGGGCAGCATGAATGGGCACAGCCGGAATGGGAAGGGCCATGCACCCCGGCGGAAGCACCGCAACCGTTTTGTGAAGAAGAATGGCCAGTGCAACGTCTATTTTGCCAACCTGAGCAACAAGTCTCAGCGCTACATGGCCGACATCTTCACCACCTGTGTGGACACACGCTGGAGGTACATGCTTATGATCTTCTCTGCTGCCTTCCTGGTCTCTTGGCTCTTCTTTGGCTTCCTCTTCTGGTGCATCGCTTTCTTCCATGGTGACCTCAATGCACCAGTGGTGGGAGGTGGTCCCTCTCTCCTCAAGCCCTGCATCATGCATGTGAACAGCTTCCTAGGGGCTTTTCTTTTCTCAGTGGAGACGCAGACAACCATTGGGTATGGCTTCCGCTGTGTGACTGAGGAGTGCCCGCTGGCTATCATGGCAGTTGTGGTCCAGTCCATCGTGGGTTGTGTTATTGACTCCTTCATGATTGGTACTATCATGGCCAAAATGGCAAGGCCCAAGAAGCGGGCCCAGACCCTTCTCTTCAGTCACCATGCGGTCATCTCCGTGCGGGATGGCAAACTGTGCCTCATGTGGCGGGGGGGGGACCTTCGTGGAGGCCCACGTCCGAGCCCAGCTTATCAAGCCCTACATGACAGAGGAAGGGGAATACCTCCCCCTGGACCAGCGGGACCTAAATGTGGGCTATGACGTGGGCCTTGATCGTATATTTTTGGTCTCACCCATTATTATCGTTCACGAAATTGATGAGGAGAGCCCGCTCTATGGAATTGGCAAGGAAGAGCTGGAGACAGAGAACTTTGAGATTGTTGTTATCCTAGAGGGGATGGTGGAAGCCACAGCCATGACCACACAGGCACGAAGCTCCTACCTCGCTAGTGAAATCCTTTGGGGTCATCGTTTTGAGCCAGTTGTGTTTGAGGAGAAGAACCACTACAAAGTGGATTATTCACGCTTTCACAAGACCTACGAGGTAGCCGGCACACCTTGCTGCTCAGCCCGGGAGTTGCAAGAAAGCAAGATGACTATCCTACCTTCTCCTCCACCTCCCAGTGCCTTCTGCTACGAGAATGAGCTGGCTCTTGTCAGTCAAGACGAAGATGAAGATGATGATGAAGTGGGTGTGGTGTTAGGGGGCAGCTCCAAGGAGGAGGGAGGCGTCATTCAGATGATGGATTTTGGAAGCCATCTGGACCTGGAGCGGCTCCAGGCAACTCTGCCCCTAGATACAATCTCATACCGCAGGGAGTCAGCAATTTAACTCCTCCAGTCTCCCCGTTTCACACCCTTTGCCCACCATCTCCTCCTCTGTTCTGCACCCGTAGGTAGCTGGATAAGTCCCTTGTCCACCAAAAATGCCTCCTGTGACTGTCTCGCCCCTGAGTACATCAAGGCCAAGAGCTGCTCTGATATACTCCCTTTCCTGTGAATTCATACTGCCAGGAAGAGGTGTGAGGACACACTACTTTTCCTGTGTGTACAGCTTGTGCTAGGACCCCTTCCCTGCCCAGAGATAGGAGAGCAGCATGTCTGGTTTCTCATCTCTGGAGAGGCGACAGGAGTCCCTATCCTCAACCGACAGACTGGGATCTGCAACAAGTGTTTCTTCTGCTGAGATGACAGCAGACTGTCTGTCCCTTCTCAATGCGGGTAGACCCCATGGCTGTCAAGAGTCATGACCATCTCTAGGAGAGGAGTGATACCTAAGCACTGACCAGATGAGGATTGACGGGAGAGTTTAGGACTCCTGGAGGGAGTGGGGAAGGATCTCAAGGGAGGGATCTACTTGCATGTTTATTGCTTGTTGCACATGACTCTTTCTTTGTATATAAAACAGAACAAGAACTGAAATCCATATTCTTCCACTGCAAATGCCAAGCTAGGAGAAAAGGACGCTCTGCATAGCCTACTCTGCAATTTCCCTGGCTTTTGGCATCTGTGACCTCCAGAAGCAGCTCAGTTCTATGGACTCAGACCCAGTTCTCCCAGTCCTCTCAAAAAACACGTCCTGCTCCTCTCCTGAGATGCCTGGCAGAGGAGGCAGGGCCCCGTGCTTGCACACTCAAACTGCTCCCCAGCACAGCATGGCTGGGATGACAGACAAGTAACCTGACTGGACAGCAGACCTTCAACTTGCTCCTTTCACCTCCTTGGTTCTTCTCCCTGCTGCCATGAGCTGTAAAATTGAATTTGTAACTATTTATTTTTAATAAAGTCTAGTATCCCAGGGGGAGGTTTGGAAAGAAAGGAGAGACCCCAAGGCTGCAGCCTGGCATAGAGACCAATGAAAGTTATTAGTGCTGGTGTTTGCTCTTCATTTGGTGTTGGTGCCTGGAAACTCCACCGCGAAGGCTTACTTGTTCTGGGCCTTTCTTGTAATGACCTACAACAAGAGGCTCAGAGTATTTGCCTGGGGAGAAGATCATGCAGAATATATGGAGGGATGGAAGTATTGCATTAAAATTACCAGTAGGATGGGTCAAACGATCCTGCTTGCTTGGAGATACCAGGAGTTTTGTCCAGGAAAAGGTAATAGATATGCTCAATGAAGAGGCAGAGCCATCGCTCTAGATGTATAGCTCATAAAAAGTGTAAAAGATCCCAAAGCTTCTTTTTTTGCTGGAGGCAAGTAGGTACTAGAGGAAATGAGGGAGGGCATCAGATGGAGCTCAACCTGCAACATCGCCCTCATTCCACAAAAGACACAAAGGCCTGGTGAGCCTTTTCATTAAGGAGCAGTAGAATCATTCCTTCAAAACGGTAGATGATATGAGCACAGACAAACAGGTGGCTCAGGAGGCTGCTCTGGGCACCCAAGAGTTGTGCTATGGGGAGAACGGATGAAGAAATTATGTCCCACCCAACCCTTAATCTACAAATCATAAAACCAGCATCTCAATATCAATTTGGAATCGGTTCAAGAAGTAAGAGGAAAGTGGGGAAGAAGCAGAAGGGGAAGGAAGGAAATAGGAGGAGTGAGAGGAAGAAACATGCACAGCAGGCAAGCGGAGGAGGAGGAAGGGAAAAAGAAGGGAAAATGAGGTAATATGGGAGTGCGTTTGACAAAGAGCAGGGGTAGAATAACAAGATGGGTCTAGACTGAGATATGGCCATTTCTCATCCAGGCATGAAGGCTCTGTGGGGTGACAGCTGCCCTGCACAGGTTTGCCCTGCACCCAGGCAGTGATCTGACACCTTTGGGAAGCCTTGCCAAGGAGGGAAGAGGAGCTGGTGGGAAGATGAAAGAAGAGCACATAGCTCACAACCGACGAGCAGGGCATCAGGAAAGGAATCACTCCTAATGCATCCCTTTCCTCTTGTCAGGCTCAGAATGGGGACAGGAGCTTGCGGATCTTGGCTTTTCCCACGTATGACTTGATACGCAGCCTCATTTTTCCATGTGTGTCCCTGTCCCACCTCTCCTTCCCATTGCTAACTTATGAAGTCCCTCCTTCCTTTTATTATTTATTTATTTATTTTCCCCAGAGGGAATAAGCAGGGGCCGGTATTGACCTGGCTTTTAATACAGCTTTCAGAGCTGGGTGCCTGCCACTGGCCATGGCAGTGGAAACAAACTAATGGACCGAGAGAGAAGTACTCTGTGTGTGAGGACACGGGCATCCAGGACACAGATTGGGGTGGTGGCCTCCAGGACAAGGAGAACCCGTGTGGCTGGGTGCCCCCTCATCGAGGTACAGCATCCTTCAGAGGTGGATGGCGGCGCTTGTTGAGGATGAAGTGCCCGCGGCCTGTTACCTCTTGGGAGGAATCATCTCAAGGGAGCGAGTGCCTGGGGAAGCCGGGCAAGGATGAGAAAGCTGAGGCGCACCAGGGCCATGGGCATGCACAGCCGGGGTGGCTGAGGCAGCACAGAGGCCAGCACTGCCAAGCCTTGCTTCAGCTGATGCGGCTTTTGGGGAAAAAACGAGAAAAGGTTGCCATAAGACTAAGGGAACAAGCATCATGTGGCTACGCTGGGATTCCAGCTCCCTCCATATATTTGAACCTGCTGGCCCTTTTCATGTCATGTTTGGCATCACAGTGGAGAAGACACCAAAGTGTTGAGGCAAACCTAGCTAAACCCTGCTGTTCACAATAAAATTGGGAGAAAGCTCGCAAAGCCATCATGTCATTAGAGAGGGGAGAGAACTGAGTAGGACCAAGGGAGAGAAAGGAGTTGAGATGAGGGGGCAATGGGAAGGAGAAGAAAGAAAGAGTGCAGGAGAACAGAGGTGATGGCTAAACCTCTGCCTGTGAGGCCGCAGCTGTGCTTAGGTTGCCAAAATGACAGGTTCCTTGGGCACACATAGCCCAGCTGATGGCACAGTGTGGTCACTCATCCCAGTCAAAAGTGTTCTTCTGCCTCCACAAGCTGCATGCATGCCCACAGGCTTTGCCGATACACAACAGTATGTGCATCCTTCTGCATGTGCTACTTCTGCACCTGCATGCTCGAATCACAGAGTAGTCATGTCCAAGTACACATGACATGTACCTAAATGTGTATGTCACACATGGGGGCATAACCCATCCTATACCACAACTTCATCCCATAAACACCCAACAACATATACATAGACACCAAGCGACAGCAGCATCTATCTCAACAAGTTCCTCTCTGGCTGTATGCTGGAGACTCTTTTATAAAGCCCATGGCCACCGGGAGAATTCACCTCGGAAGACTGTTTGGTTAAAGAAGAATGGATGCTTTTAAGGAGTCTACAGATCAGCTCTCCAAGCCATTTACAACTGTAAATGCACCTGATATTTTGGTTTTTGCATACGACACATGGATCATGACCTTTTAGATAGGTGACACTTTCTTGTCCTGTGCTCTCCAGAGAAGAAACCTCTATTGCACACCAGGGCACAGCATCTCTGGGCTCCCATCCTCCTCCAGGATTTGATGGAGAGACTGCTTCCCCAGGAAACTGCCCCTAACCCCAAGGGGCTAGCAGCTTGCTTTTCAGGAGGAGGTCACCACTTCTTCGTTTATCTGCCTCACAACCTATATTTCTTTCCTGTCTAACTTCTGAACAATTTCCTTGGCTCATTATTGAAAGCTATTCAAATACCAGAAAGATAATGGGGAGAGGAAGGACTTTTTCCCTATGAATAGGATCCAGGCACTGGTTCAGATCCTCCACCCCATGACAGCTAACTATGTCGCTGTCACCCTTGCCAGCTTTCAGATGAATGTTGTTGTTTTAAATGACACTTGAGAAACTTGTTTCATGTTTTATTTTTGGTGACACTTTTGGACAACACTTTTGAAAACAAACCATCATTGGCACCTTTCAACTCACCCAAAAATTGCTCAGCAGAACATTTTGATACACACTGCGACTAAAAATATTCTCAAGAAATGCAACGATAATCTCAAAAAGGGAGAAAATGGGTTCAGATTTCCGTGATCAGGAAATGGTGTTGAAAATGTCCGCGCTGCTGAAAAAAAAGTGTTCCTTTTCAACCAGCTTGGTTTCATCCAGGTTTTGCCCAGGAGCGGAGCAAGGCACACAACTCTGCCACAACACCTTTAGCTTCAAGCTTTAGCAGCCTTTCTTTGCCTTTACAAGAGGACCAGAGCTCTCTCCCAGCTGTCCCAGGAAATATGAAGTGTTTTAAATGTCAACTCCCCACAAAAAAAAAAAAAAGCAGCCAGAAAAAAGCGCCTTACCTTCCCAGGCCATTAAGGGCTTGCTCTTGCCCCTGCGATGTCAATGAGACTTTTGCCATTGCCCGTGGTCAGAGCTGGGCCCTAATGGAGCACCACTATCGGAAAACCCCGCAGGCACCGGCCCTGCGCTAAATCCGCCGAGCCGGGA